TTAAATATTGATACAAAGAATTTTGTTAAAGTGCTTTTACATAAAAAGAACTTTGATTATTGCTAAAGCCATACCTTGAATCCCTCGAGCCCGCATTCCCGAAGTTTTATCGGTTTTTATTTCGGTTAAGTCTTATTGAGTACTTTTCGTTTTCGTGGTTTGTTGACCCTTGTTGCAGGGAGAGGCTCATGAGCGATCTGCTTTTGGATCGTCTTTGCATGATTTGTTGTTCAAAGGCGATGATGATAAGTAATGTGTGGCCCTTAAGGCGTAAGCAAATGATATTTGTGTGTTTTGTAATATATTATAATGCCACTCCCCTACTTTGGTTTGTATTAATAATCGAACTTAGTTTGTAAGGTTTGAAATAAATGTTTTGTAAACTAAGTTATTGTAAGACTTCCGCTGATTTACTCTGGTGTAGATATTTGAATAAATGTTGTAATATCGCAATGACTCAGAATGTGATCCCCGCTTCGGAAATCGTGGATGATTCGGGGTTCCCCGCGGACACCCGACAGTCTTCTTAAGTTATCGGTAACATATGCATAAATGTCAAAGGTCATTGGATAGTGACAGGTGCATGTGGGCCCTATAATTTAGGAGGTTCTGCCACACTACGCCCTCATGGAAAGGTAGAGATGGCGGAGAAGCATCAGTAGCTCACCGTGATGTACGCTATAATGCAGATGATGCAAGGAAAAGCTGAGGTGGTCTAGCCATGTGCGCCCGGGCACGGCGGCGACTCCCCAAGCCGGACACCGACGCGTCACCACGCCGCCAATGGGTTCCCTGGCCAAAACAGTTCGAGCACCGGATAGAGGGAGTCAAGGTGAGTGTAGGGTTATGAGTAATTGAACCGCTACCACTCCTACATGCCTTACTTCCCAACCTACTGATTCGATGGCACCCACGACCAGCGGCGAGCAAAACGCCAAATTGCCGGTCGGTAGTGATCGACTGGGCTTGAGGAGAACAGGGCGCGTAGCTGACTACCTATGCCACCCACTGAAGTGGGGAATTGCGCTACAAAGCCCGAGCTAGTGATTTTGAAAGGAAGGAATGGTGTGCTGCCGTCGCTATGTTGTGGACAGTGACCTCAACTTAACGTGGACCGGCCAAGACACGACGAGGGCACAGTGGTGTGGGGACATGATCGTTGAGGCGGTAACAGAGACATGTCGGCGAGTGAGGGGATAACGACGGAAACGGAACAAGCAAGAGCGCCAGGTGCAGCACAGCGAGGTGACAACGACGCGTGAGCGACAGGGCAGTGGGGGTGAGATCATAGCGCTACATGACAGCCGAGCCAGACAGTGACTTGGCGGGTAGGTTTTAACGACAAGATGAGCGCCACGATAGCTAGACGGCGACTGCCACGGCGTTGGCTTGGAATCGCGCATGGCTAGGCTGACAGCGCGCATGCGGTAGAGGCAGTGCCATCAGATAGGGCCAAGCAGCGGCGCAGGTTTGCAGAGGGTGTGGACACGACGACGTCGGCAGCAGGGACACGCCCACATGCCTAATAGCGAGAAGGACAGCAGCAGCATCATAGCGCGAGGCGGGAAAGGAGGCAGCGGGGCAGTAGCGTGGCGACCAGCCACTACAGGGCGATGACAGCGGCCCGCCAGGGCCGATCACGACCACCCACGGCCAGACAGGCAAAACCGGGCTCGGCATCGCGGCGCGCGGAACGCGGACAGCCGTACGACGCCGACCACGCACACGGGCCAGACATATGACGTGCATGAATTTTAAAGCGAAGCAAAGGATGCCGATCATCTCAACCAAAGTTCAACCAATCCTACTAACCTAAAGTTGACACTACCTGCTAGCTAGCGAAGCAATCGCCATGACCCAAGAGCAACCAGAGAGGGAGATAAAAGGATGCCAACTTGAGTTCGTCACTAGAGTGCCGGTTCACGAACAGAGCGCCAACAACATAGTTAATAACGCGTTCCAACGAAGTTTGGGCAATTTTTACGAGAGCAACGTGACATCCAATACAACTTCGACCTAAGCCATGCTCAAGCACTCACTTTGATGCAATCAACAATACCAAAATATGCAGCCAGTGTTTAAACATTTTTGTTAGAAATTAAATGTCAAAATAGCATTGTCTTATTGCTTTTCCATACTTAGAAAAGTTAAGGATTCAATTCAAACTAACAGCCATTAACACTTTTGTTATAATTTTTAAAAGGCCTAAACCCTATTAACTGCTACCAACAAGTATTTCATGCGATAGTCCATACCTTATACTAACCCATAGGAGCAAAATATTTAAGTACCATTTAACTATTTTGCTCAATATAATTCACCAAAGATGGTATTTTACACAATATTTCAAGTGTTTGCCGACTTAACGAAAAGAGCTTATCTTAACGTCAAATTTGATTTTTGAGCTCCTAAAACACTAGTTAACAACATCTATTTTCCAAAAGTTAAAGTTGCATTTCCATATACTAAACTTGTACTTCAATTTTTGTTTAAGTACTAAATACAAGTTATATTTGATCCTTGTTCCTAGAAATTATTTTTCACCTCACGTGCGTTATAAATTTTTAAAATCCGGAAACTTGTTAGGCTAATCCTTCTCGGACCTAAATCTCGGTGCTAAGAAAACTCGTAACACCAGGGGTGTTACATCTTGTGCCATGGTCGATGGAGATTCGTGGTTCAAACGCATTGTGAGGTGTAGTAGGAGTTATGGCCAAAGTCTAATGGAGGTGTTCGTTAGGTTCCGGGCTTCTAAGAGTGTTTTCAAAAAGTTTAAGTTAGAATGACCGGTGGGTCGTGACACAGATATAGATTTGTTTTGATTCATCTAACTTTGCAAGGGCATATGTACTATTGATATGTGGAGTTTGATTGGTTAAACTTTATTAAATTTTGCTTCAGTCACAAAATTAGGGTTTAATCAATTCTCGTCACTATCTAACACAACATGCTTGTTTATTTTATATCTCGAGTTCTAGGCCTCCGATTGATGACTTTAGTTGTCACAAAAATTGTATAGTTTATATCCAGAAAAGGTTTGAAGTCAGTCGAAGTTATGGTGTTTTATTGATGTAATTTTAGTGGTGACACAATGTTGTGTCCTGAACTTAGAAATGAGGTGCAATCCGCTTAAGGGAAAGTCTTAAAATTAATTATTAGGTTACCTACTCATTCACCCCCTTTGATTCACAATTTTAGTGAGAATCAATCCTACAAGTGATACCAGTTATTTTTAGTTGATCTTAACTTGTGATCTGAAAACATGTCGATGAACAGGTATTCAACTAAACATTTTATTTTGACATTGTTGATTTTCAGTTCTGACAAATGAAGATGAAGACTTATATTCAAGCGCAAAGCTTTGTGACTTGGGAGAAATTCTACAGCCTTATATCGGGTGCCGAAAGACATCCGTTGTGACGATATGATACCACATGTTGAGCCAAATATTAAGGCAACTAGGCAAGAAACAATATTATAAAAGGGCTTGTAAGTAGTGACTTCGACCGTGTTGTGCATCTTGTATCCGCATATGAGGCATGGAATGGACTTTGTGATTATCATGAAGATTTATCTATAATTATAGAGGTGTGTTAGGGTACATAGAGAAAACATACATATGTTTTAGATAAAACCTAAATCATTAGATGCATAAATTTATTAGGCTTGCTAGTGCACGGATGTCAAGACAGACATGGCGTTCGGACGCCTGTGCCTGCAGTCATTTTTCCTTGCTGTTTCGCGCGGCCATGTGGGGCTCGTGCCGCCCCGAACATCACTAGCATCGAGAAGAGAGGGAGGAGGCGGTGCATGCCCAGCCTGGCGCCAGGAGAGGAGGAGACACCGTGGCGAGGCAGCAGAAGGCGAGGAGGGAGATGCAACCACTACTACAGTAAACTTAACCGAGGTGGGCCAAAAGGATTAACGAAGGCGGGCAAACCATCTGCCTTCGTCCAAAGGTCATGGTTAATCCAGACCTATGGAGGCGGTTGGTTCGCCCACCGAGGCAATCGGCTTAAGGCAGATGAAACACTTGAAATATGCATCTGAAACACTTATAAAAACACCTGAAAAAAAATACTTCAAAACTATTTTAACAACATACGCAACATCCAAACAAAACACTTGCAAACATATATGTGAAACATATGCAACATCCAGATAAATACACTTACAACATACGTCTGAAAAAACAGATGGAACATTGGAAAAAGCTTGCAACATACGTGTATAACTATTGCAACATATGCAACATCTCGATCTACTTTTGCAACATCCATATGAAACACTTGCAACGTACCTTTAAAGGCTCCATTCGCTTCGCTGAAAAAACAAGCCGAAACACTGTTCCGGCTGATTTGTTGTGAGAGAAAAATATTGTTCCGGCTGAAAAAATAAGCTGAAAAAGCGGATTATAAGATAAGCGAACAGGGCCAAAATATCTAAAACAGACACTTGCAACATGCACTTTGAAGCGCAACATCTACTTGGTGCCTGGACAAAAATAGAGGCTTGTCGACGCGGAGCTCGTTGCTATGGAGTGACACGAAGGTCGCTGATGTGGAGCTCGTCGGTGGCACAGATCTCGGCAGGGGCCGCGGCAGACGGATGGAGCGTGGCCGTAATGGGAGGCACGAGTACGGACGGGGCAGCGCGGGGAAGGACGAGATCGTCCCACGAGCAGGTGCGTGCAGCGGGGGCGGCGCGGTGAGGGCAAGATCCGTCGCGCCAGCAGGGGCGCGTAGCACATAGACGCCGCAGAGCCAGCGGGTGATGAGGATGGGGCAGCGTGGGCGGGGTCCGTTCCGCAAAGAGTCTTCGGGGCCCTGCCACGTGGCCTGCATACGGACACGCACTTCGCGAAACGTTCGCCATACCTGGAAGGCTGGAATCCGGGTCGGAGTCTCAGATGCCAACATTGCCTCCGAATATATATGGTGAAACATGATTCCTTTCATTAGATCAGATCATCAGAGATTAACAAAAGTTTAATCGCCCTAATGTCTCGGTTCATCTTCACCATGCGTCTTACCGTAGCAGAGGGCGCGAGGACGACGACGACCGCGCCACCGTCTTCTCGCGTCCGGGAGCTGCTTGTGCTTGACGAACATCGTCCACCGTCTTCGCGCGTCCGGAAGCTGCTTGACGAACAGCGTCCACGGAAGATGATCGACAACATGGCTCTGATCATCATAGACCAGACGTACTCTGCCTTGCTCGAGATCCTCGGGCCCGAGGCACCGCCTTCCGGCGACGGGCTCGTCCAGATCAGCCGGCCCGTGGACCCCGCCGACCCTGAGTCGCCGGTGCTCAGCGTCAACGCCAGCGCCACGCACTGCTGCATCAGCCTGACCGACAGCTTATACGGCGGCGTCGACGGCCCAGATTACGCGAACGCCACCTCGCCGAAGCAGAGCAGCAGCTCGCAGTACCGCCTCGCCCGCGCGACCATCACCGCCTCGCCGGGCACGCTTCACCTGGCACGAGTCGACGGCGGGGGCTGGGGGGACTACTGGGCGTGCGCGGACGTTCAGCCGGCCGACGTCGCCAACAAGGGCTTGCTCGGGGTGCTGGAGACGATCAAGGCGCGCCTGGACGCGGCGATCCGGTTGGAGGACACGCTGCTCAGGATGGCGAAGAGTAGCGGCTGCCGGAGCACCAAGATCAGGGAGGTCATCGAGGTGCGCGAGGCGTTAGAGAAGATGAGAGCGGCGGTGGACCTCGACGCGATCATGCGCCGCCGCTGTCGCCGCCTCCTCATCCAAGAGGAGATCGCCTGCCGGCCGGATGTGGATCAGGCGTGCGACGCAGACGTGCTGGCCAAGAGGTTAAGCACACTGCACGTAGGGCAGAAACGCGGCTGCCCTGTCCATGAGGTGAGCTACCACCGGCTGCCGGAGCCGGACGATGCAGAGGTGCTGACCAAGAAGTTGAAGGCCCTGCACGTATGACATGGTTGTTCGTAGCGGCCGATTGATGCAGTCTCGCAGCCGCAGATGAGCCATGGACCTGCTTCGTGTAGCGGCCGATTGATGCAGTCTCGCAGCCGCAGATGAGCCATGGACCTGCTTCGTGTAGCGGCTGATTGATGCAGTCTTGCAGTCGCAGATGAGCCACATGGACGTGCGCGTGCATAGATCGATCGATGGTGCAAATCCCGAGCGGATCGGACCATCGGGCTGACGAAGAACTCGGAACAGAAGATGACGCGTGCATAGATCGACGGTGCATATCCCAAGTCGATCGGACCATCGGGCTGACGAAGAACTCCGAACTGAAGATGACAAAGAACTCGGAATTGAAGATGAGAGGAAAGGTTGTTGCAAGAGTCCTTCGTTTGTAAACATCATCGGGTTGCCCTTTCTCAAGATTAGAGGGAATACCAGCTAACGGCTAACAGTGTGTTGTACATTTTTTTTTATTCCAATCCTAGAGTCATACGCTCCTTCAGTACCCTGCAAATTGCATTGCCGATGTGTTTGAGGGCTTGAGATGTTTTGCTATTGTCTGTTGATTCATAGTACATGTATTAGTAGTATATTACGGGGGTGTTTGGCACGGCTCTTTACGAAGAGCTCCTCCGTATGAGCCAGAGCCGTTTTAGAGGAGACACATCCTCTGCTTTTTATTGAAAAATGGCTACCCAGAAAAACGTTTGACATGGCTCTTCTGGAAGAGCCAGAGGCGGAGCCGGATACATTTAATATTTGTGTTCTGCTCCGATTTGATATATACGTGAAGTGAACTCGAGCGTAAGCTCAGAAGAAAGCAATGACGAGTTCAATCTCACGGCAAGGAGCAGGATATGGCCTTGAACGATTTATTACACGATGAACAATAATGGCCACTGACGCAGGGCCAGGCGGCGTTTATTCATTCAGAACAATGGAAATATGCAGAAGCCGGCCGGCAACAGCCGAAAACACGCACGTACGCTTGACAATGCCTCACCGTGCATTGCGAACTGCGACCGAGCTCAGAAAGGCGCCTCCGCGGACGGCGGGCGCTGCAGCTCCTTGACCCTGGTCCAGGAATCGCGGCGAGAGATGGCGTCCCACCACCTGCTGACGTTCCTGCGCGACTGGATGAGGCGCGCCGACCGCGGGTCCGCGGCGAGGCGGTCGGCGTTGGGCAGGTGGGACAGGTCGGCGACCGTGAACTTGGCGCCGGCCAGGAAGGCCTCCTCGCCCAGGCGCTGCTCGTAGATGTCCAGCAGCTTGCTCAGCTCCCTGCGGCTCTTGTCGAACTGCTGCAGCATCTCCTCCATCTTCTGCCGGTGCGTCGGGTTCATCCCGCTGGTCGCCGCCGGGACCGGGAGGCCGCCGCCGCCCCTGCCGCCGTCGAGCGGCATGTCGGGCGGCAGGTAGGCGAGGCTGTAGACCATGTCGGCGCTGGGGATGTCGAAGCTCTGCGCCTCCGTCTGCAGCCACTGCTCGATGGAGGCCCGCTCCAGCGCGCCCGGGCCGAACAGCTCCCTGTACCCCTGGTTCTTGTACTTCTCCGCGATGTGGCGCAGGATCTTCCTCGACTCTGCATGCATCCAATCCATGCGGTTAAATTCTCAGAAACTAATCGACGACCAGAGACGAAACTTCTTGCAGTTGTACGTACCGACGAGGGTGACGTTGCCGTCCTCGAAGGTGAGCGCCTCGCCGTGCGGCTGCAGCATTTCGCCCTCGTCATCAACAAATACTATAATGAACGCGGCAGTTCTTGCGTGCGCTGCGCGTTCGTGTGCATGGCAATGGCACGATCGGTTGCAGAATCCGTTAAAGTACCTGGAGCTTGAGGTACTGGGGCAGGCGCTTGGGGCCGCGGAAGGAGTCGACGCGGATGAGCTGGAACTCGACGTCCTTCTCGAAGAGGCAGGCCAGCACGCGGGCGACCTCCGCCGACGTGGGCGACCCAAACACCTTCACCGGCATCTTCTCGATTGGGGCGCCGGTGGATCTGCAGCAGCCGCAGCTAAAGCTTTTGCTTGCCAAATGAAGCAAAGAACCTGTGTTGCGTTGGGCGTTGCAGATGTTTGTGTGCAGATTTGGTTGCTCTGGATGGGCTCTATATATACGCATCCGAAAGCAAGACAGGGATCAGAGTGACTTGCCTTGCTTGCTTTCCACCTGCAGGTTCGTCGTGTTCATACCTCACCGAAAGCGAAAGGGGCATAAAGAGGCAAAGCGCTGATTCAAAGAGTCGGCCTCAGGTTTGCTGCGATGCTGTCCCCGATCCGTATCATGGTGTCCATAAGCAATCGAGTATAGAGTTGTTTTTATTGATCTAGAGCATAGAAACAGATTACAAAGCAAAGTATTCAGCAAAAGAAAACAGTTTACAAAGACAGATCGAAGCAGTGCTGCCACGGCCAGCCGTGCATGGAATTTTCATTGTTGGCTACCTCGCTCTGTGAAGGGTGAAGGCCAGATTACTTAGCTTGTTAAAACTCTTGGGCACACGTCTGAATTTGCATTAACCTTAGAGCTAGAGCATGTCATGTCATGTAGTGCATATTATCCAACCCAAAAAAAAAATGGATACTATGTGTAGGTAGCTATCGTTTTAATTTCTTGCTGCACGTCCAGGATATGTTCTTTCCCTTGCCTTGCTACCGACTTTGCAGCATCAGATGCAGTTCGCGTTAATATCGAGGTAAAGTATCAAGTGAGTTCTACGCTTTTCAGGCATCTGACCTGGTTGCCCCGTTCTTAGTCTCAATTCTTCTGAGAGTAAAAGGAGTTAAGTCTATTTAACCCCTGAATTTGTGACCAAATTTTAAAGAGGCACACTTCTTAACTCACATACCAGAAATCGTACACTCTCTTCGTCGTCAACAACTGCTTCGTCTCCATGTCGTGCCTGTCAACAACTGCTTGATATGGAGTAATAGGCAAAAGGATATGAACATGAGAGGGGGAGAAGTAGGAGGTGTTGCGCCTGGTGGATGAAGGAGGAGGCCAACGGGGTGAGAGGAGGAGAAAGGGGGAGGCTGAGGTTCTGTGTCGATCTTCCAGTTTGCTGTACATCGTGCCTTGCGGCGTGGTGCTTAGATCGAGCGCCTACGTGCTTGGTTGAGCTCATGGATGCCGGGATGCTAGGTGGCATGCTTGGTCACCGAGGTCCGAGGAGGTCATTGGATTCTTGAGCCTGTGGTGCATGCTTGGTTGAGCTCATGGATTTCGGGATGCTAGGTGGCATGCTTGGTCACCGAGGAGGTCATTGGATTCTTCAGCCTGTGGTGCCTCCAAGGGTCATACGGATCTGCGACGGGGAGTCACGCCGCTACATAGGCAAAGCCCGACGCCGTTAAATCGTAAAATATTCGCTCGATCGAATATAGGATCTGATGTGCTACCAAATCTCTCGTAACCTATAGGCTATACAGGCCCTTTCGCAGATGAACATTTTAATAAGCTCAGCAAAACATTCAGGATCCAGTCTGGTTATCCTGTCCAGTTGGTGTACGGCCCATTCCGTACCACACTCTCGAGTATTTCAGCCCAGACCAATACATGAAGCAAGACTAAGCCCAGAAGTACTGGTTGAGCAGCAATGGGCTTAAGGTTCAACTGCCCATTGCAGCTCCTGGCCTCCGCTGGCAAGTGGGCTTATGGTACAACTGGTAACGGAGCCCATAAGGGATAGTACGAAACAGCCCGAAGGCCGAAACGGAAACGTGGAGATGTACAACTCTTCAAGATATCAATGGAGGCGAAGGTGATGGATTCATGTTAATTAACGAAGACATAACTGCGGAACTCCGCACACTACAACGTTAGCAACTTACAGTACCTCGTACACAAGCTCAGGACAATTACACTTACACGGACATACACACATCACGGTGTTGCAAGCTCGCTTGGGATCGGAGCAAAACATCAAACGGCGCCGAGGCCTGACGGGTCGAACGCGACAGGGTAGTGCGCGGTCCGGGCCTGCACCGCGACCACCTGCCTCCACGCCGGGCGCGACGAGATGGCCGCGTACCAGCGCGCCACGTTCGCCCTGGACGCCAGCAGCGCCCGGCCCCTCGCGGAGCACGCGAGGTAGTGCGCGTTCGGGAGGTGGGACAGGTCCGCCAGCGTGAAGTCGTCGCCCGCGACGTACGCGCTCCGGCCGAGCGCGCCGTCGTACACGTCCAGCACGCGGCGCAGCAGCTGCCGCTCGCTCTCCGCCGCGGCGGCGCGAAGGCGAGGTGGAACACCGCCAGCGCCGAGCTCGGCGCGTCGAAGCTCTGCGCCTCCGCCTGCAGCCACTGCTCGACGGACCGGCATATGTCCCTGGAATCTACAGTACTCACAAAGGAGAAAAAGATTTGACAGCATACAACAGTAAGCCACTAGCTAGCTCGGCGCGCGCGTCCAAAATCTTGTGCTCGGAGCTCGGTTAGTTACCGCGCGCCGAGGGTGATGTCGCCGTGCGTGAGCGTCACCTGTTGGCCGCTGGGATCCTGCATCGTATGTATCCAGCATGCTAGTAAATCAGATCAAGAGGAACAGAATCCAAACTTGGTGCAGACTGCGGACTGCCGATTAGTATGCAGGAGTTTCAGGAGTTTTTGAACGTGCCCTCGTCTTAACGAACTCGGGGGACTTGTGCCCACGCTTGAAAGTGTCGGTGCGGACCATCTCGAAGTCGAGCTGCCGCCCAGGAGGCACGCCATTGTTAGATTGAGCTCCCAGCCAAAAAGCCCAACGGCCTATTGAGCTTTGGTCACGTGTTTTGATCGGGGGCGCCCAACCCTACATGGTTGGTGGGCCTCCGTCGCACTGCGCTATATAAAGTGGTGGGACCGGCGGCTCAAGGTACGAGGTTCACCGTGAGCCAATCCGCCCAACCAACAAACCCTAAGTCCGATCTAGCAAGGGTGCGCAGCCAGCGACGGGAAGACGCCACCGTCATCACCGTCGGCTTCACTGCACCTCACCGCGTCATCGGACTTCACCGACTCTTCCCCGACCGTCGCTGTCCGTGCGCAGCCTACACCAGCGAACCCGATGGAGGCCACTGGATCTTCCACCCCTGCGGTCTTAGGTTCGGTACCTTTTCCCCTTCTCTCCCTGTCTCTCTCTAGACTGTTCTAGATGTATTAGGATCTACCGTTTTACATGTTATGCCGAATAGAACAGTTAAAGGCTAGATCTATGATCCAACAGTTTTAACATTGATACCAGAGCCACGGTTTAGGTATAGATCTGGCTTAAGGAAAAGAAATCCAGTGCGGTTTTAGAAAGTAGAAAGGGGCTTCGGCCGACAAAGGGTTCGGTTGAACCCTAACTTCGATCTTTTCGGATCTGAGAAAAGTTTTTGATTCGGATGAATGAAACCCAAACCCTAACCCTAGATCGGGCACGGGAAAAGTCGGGAACAGCTTGAGACATGGTCTCAACAAAGAATCCTAACCCTAGCAGTTCGCTAGTCTAGGGTTTAGATCTAGGTTTTCCGAATCAACAGCAACGAAAACTGAATGAAAAGAAAAGTGGAGTTCGAATGAGATTTGGATCCAAAAGAACCAAACCCTAACCCTAAAGATAGGGAGCCTACATGTGCTTTCCTCACCGCCGGCGGCATCGCCACCGCGCGGAAAGAACACCGCGGCGTCGCTCCCGAACGGCGCGCGGGACAGAGCAGAGATCCGTGCACCTCGCACGCGCGGTCACTGCAACAGGGCACCACCAAGCGGCCCCTCGACGACGGCGTGCTCAGCCTCGGGCGAGCACGCACGCCGGTGAGAGGGCGCTGGGCGGAGCCCCTCTTCTTCTCTCTCGGCCACCGAGGACGGCTGCGCTGCGGATGACTCTCTGAGCTGCGCTGCGCGATGAGAGAGAAGGGGAGGGAAAGAATGCCCAAGGGTTTTGGAAGGGTGCTGCCGGGGCGAGGTTTTCATCCGGCCGAAACGAGAGGAGAACCGTCGATCGGCGATCGATGGACAGCAGGCACCCAGGCCGGATTAGGCCCAGGCGGGTGGCCAGTTTCTCGGCCCAGGCCCAGGTTGCGGCCTAGGCGCAGAGGCGGTTGTGGGCTCTACTGGGCCGCAGCGCGCGTTAAGCGAGCTCGGCTGCCGCGGGCTGGTTTTGGCTATCGGGCCGAAATGAACAAATAAACAATAATTTTCTTAATTTCCAGAAAACAATTTGATGCATATTAGATTAATCTGAATTGCATTTTGATGCAAATTTCTGTATAAAATTTATCCAACGATATTTTTTGTTCAGTAAATAGTAAAGTTGCTTCTGGAAAATAGAATTAAAAGTTTTATTAAAGGTTCCGCTGCGTACTTAAAAATTGTTGTTTTCATTATTAAATTCGAACCAACGGGAGAATTTAATTTTGAAACATAGATAATTTTTACAGTTATTATAATGTTGTTATTATTCTGACCAACGTTGATTAATAGTAATATTATATTGTTGATGTAATTATGGTTTTTTGTTATGCATTATTTTTATTTCTGCCCAACAGTAATGTAGATTTAATGTATAAAACAATTGTATGTTTTAATTTTGATAAACGTTGAACTAAGACATGCAATTATTATTATTATTTGTGTTCTCACACTATTTGAATTGTGTTTTCAGGCGGATACAACTTGATGAGTTGTATCAAAGAGATCCCCACTCTAAAAGGGGATAACTACATTGAATGGAAGAAAAAGATCGACTTGGCCTTCATATTGGCTGAGGTGGACTGGGTAGTCACCACATCGTGTCCCAAAGAACCTGTGGCACCGGTGGTGGGAGAGCAGAGGCCCGATCTTTTGCATGGCGAGCAGAGCGGGACTTTGCTCCCGTAAAGATGTCTTTTGACCTTGAAAATAGAAAGTGGGTCACAACCAATAAGAAATGTTTGGCTGTGATAAATAATACAATTGAGCCTGCAATAGTGGGCTCAATTCCAGACTATGACACGGTCATAGAGTATCTAGAAAGAA